CAAGTCTATGTGAGCTGTACTTTTGAGCCGCTTCAAAGCTGACTTGCCCATGTCTAGTACTGTATGATTATATTAGCTTTGTATATCGAACTGTTACGAATTCTGTATGATCCAAAATAAAAACACATTATTTCCTACCTGTTCAATAAATGAAGTTCCATATTTCCGAAAATACCACCACTCGAAGATTAGAATAAGTCCAGAAATAAGAGAAGATGTTCCAGTGAGTGCAACGTAGAATTTAGGCGTTAGTGCACTTAAAAATGTTGAACTATCCCACATTATGGCAGTTTATTGGGCCCTAAGAATAATAAACTCGTACATTTATATAATTGTAGGTTTTACTTAGTCTAACACCTATGTTTTTCTTTAGTAATGTTCACCCATTACTGTTATTGTACTGTTTTATACGATCATAAAATAACTAAGTTGATAAGCAATAAACTCATAATTCTTTAAAGCTTGCTTGCACCGCTTTTGGCTTCATCTGTCATTAAGTCCTGTCATCTGTCAGCTTGAAACTTTTAATACGGCCAAAGGGCATATAAAATAAAGCAGTTACAATCTTCACTTTTAGCTGCACATTCCCCAACCTGACCTTTTTAAATCAAGTAAACAACCGGCTACCGGTTAAAGAATGTTGTGCACATCGAACGAAAATTAGCGGTTTCTAAATTCAACAATTTTTTACAGAAAAAGTAAGAACTCTCAAACTATTCTTCTCTTCTTTCAATCATTCTCAAACAATTTCCTTACGACAAGAAAAGTTTTAACCATCTCAGTCCACTATTGTCATTTTAATTGGAAGAAAATTAAAATCGAGTTGAAAATTATCGATATCAAAATTAAAATATTTTTTAAAGAAAAAGTAAGAACTTTCAAAGTATTCATCTCTTCATTCAATAATTCTCAAATTATTTTTTAACGACAAGGATTCGTCTTAGTCCATTACTTTTATTTTTTTTCGGAGAAAAGTAAAGACAATTCGAATATTATCGACTTCTAAAAATGTTTTTACAGAAAAAATACGAACTCTCAAACGATATTTCTTTCCTCTCAATCACTCCCAAACAATTCCGTAGCGATTTACAAAAAAAAAAGTTTAAAAAATAGGTGTGGGGGCCGTGTCGTCAAACTAAAAATTGAAATTGCTTTTACGGAGAAAGTAGGAACTCTCAAACAAAATTTTCTTTCTCTCTCAAACTATTTGCATAAAAAAAAAGTGATGGGGCTTACTTCCCGTAGAATTGGATCTCTAGTCGTATACTCTTTGACATACTCTTTATTCATGTCGTTCATTTGACATTGTCGGTGAATGTGATTTTTAATTATTCTTTGCGTTTGAGAGGTGTTTTACGTAACGCACTACGAAGTACGAAAATATTTTTAAAAATGCTGGCTCGATTGGGAAGACGCCAAGCTGAAATGGTGGCATCCTTTGTACCCTCAGCTGTAGCTTTTGGAGGAGCAGGATTTTGTGGTCTTCTATATTTCACGGATTGGAAAGTATTCGTGACTTACATACCCTTCTATGGTGGCAAGTTTAAAGAAGAGAAGACGGAATAATTCGTTATTATAATGGTCTGTTCTTTGCGTTAATTATGTTGTAATTATAAGCCTGTAGTATTTCACGTTAATTTTATTTATGTAACCTGTTCGAATTTTTAAACATATCCTGCAATGGTTAATTTGAAACATTAATCATCTTGTGGTACCTGTCTGATTGTGACGGGCAGTACCCTATTTTTAATTCACTGTGAAAAATATTCAATTATAAGCCAATGCAATTGAGAGGAGCGTCCCAGGTAGAGAGGGGTACCTTTTCTATCTCTTTTCTCTACTACTTTAAAAATGTAGCAATAGATAAAGATACTACTCGTTCCCCCTTCTCTTATAAAAAAAGTACTTATGCAGAAAGACATAAAATATTCTAATCATGTCATAAAATCTTTGGAAATAATTGCTCCTCACAAGGTTAAAATAACTTAGGTCAACATTTTGATAAAATTGATGAAATTTACCATTGTTTGTTAGCCCATAATATGGGGGCCATATATGGCAGAGTGGTCAGGCCTCAGTCGACCACTAATGAATGTCTTCACATCTGCAATCTTAGGTCATATATTTAGTCTTAAATGTAGACCTGATATAGTTCACTGTTTAGTGCATGTAGGTAAACTAGACTAGATAGTTAACAACATAACATTGTGTTGCAGCTCTATGAGGCTTATTTATCAAGGAACAGTTGGGAGACTCAAATGTATTGAAAGAATAATTAATTATAATATTTTTATTCAACATCATTTTAACATTATGTACTACTTAATAAACCAACTAAACTTCTTTGTGCACTTCTAATGAGGTGCCGGCAATTTTGTCCCGGCATTAAATACCTAGTATGAATATGAAGAACATGATGAGTCTTGAGAAGTGTACTGATTCTCTGTTGTCTGAAGCTGCGTTTGTAGAGATGCTAGTTCAGTAAGCATGGACTTAAACTATCTGTTACTTTCCATATGTTACTTGTTTAATTATGCCTTGAACCAAGTGACCGAGACTTATATTGAAGTAGCATTTTGATACTGCCCCCTCCACATCTAACAACACTGATAGGCTGCCTACACAATTCTAAAGTTGCCAAATAATTGACTACAACAAAAAAATCAATTTTGCGATTTGTTCCTTTTTATTCTTGCTTTATTACTTTCTAAATAACAAATAATTATAATTCGCTTAGTGACACTCAGTGGGTACATAAAGGAGATGTCTCAGCAGTAACATGGCATCGGCTCAGGCAGGGCTCGCCACAATCATCCTTACATAATAATAATGAATGGCTTGTGTTTGCAAGTAGCATGCTCGAAGCACACTTTAACGCACATAATTTCGGCGGTATATTGTAAGGACGGCTCGATGTGTTGTATATAAGAAAATAACTAATTAGGCCCGTCTTTAGGCACACTCTTTTTGAATAATAATACGTAATCGGCGACTCGGTCTCAAATAGTACTTCGAGAAATATTGTAATACACTGAACGAAATATGCAATAATATTGAATATTGTATCGACAGAAGGTCTGTTCTAAAAGCGCAGCTCATTGTCGCCACTGCCCGCCTCGTCCTCGTCCTCGTCGTCGGCGGGCCCCGGCGCCGCGCCCGCCGCGCCCGCCGCACCCCCCGCACCCACCGACACCCGCTCCTCTGCAACACACGCTCAACATATTACTTCCTTATATAACTTTAAACTCTCATGGTTTTCTATACTAATATTATAAAGAGGAAAATTGTAATGATATAACTCAAAAACTACTAGGACGATTTCAAAAATTATTTCATTTCACCATTAAAAAGCTACGTTGTCGGAGGAATTTCACGCGGACGGTTCTTAAAACACGGGTTGCATACCACGATTACTTGTTTGAGTTGTCATATCGGTCAGCCCGTGAACATTTCGCATGAAACATAATTGTGGAAAGAAGCCCATTGTTTACGATAATTATATTACTTCGTTGACTTTTTGTCCTTTGTAAAATAAGGATTATATATTCAGTTTGTATTGCCGGTATTCATGTCGTAAGAGTGTTTTTTTTTTAGCCCACCACCACCCATGGCCCCACCGACCCTCGGGTCATACGGGCCGAATCGCGGGAGGGGCGCGCGGTTTGGCCGGTTTCGGCTCCGCACGCACCTTCTTGACTCCCTACAAGTTATTTCGTCCGTTCCTTAGTGTTGAGTCACTCTCCCCCTAATGGGCATGACGAAACATGAACACCATCGCCGTCGGGCATCCACTCCAGCGCCTATTCTAGCCTGCATCTTCGATGATGCCATCGATGCGTGAACTCACGCAGCCTAGCATAGTTCGCCCCGTTGTTGACAAGATCCAGATAATAAATCGGACCCGGATCCCGCCGAGTAATCCCATCCATCATCTTCATTCTCAGGTCTGCATACTGAGGACACTCCCACAAAACGTGATGAGCATCCTCCTCATCCTCACCGCACTCACACATACTCGATTCGACCAGAGTCATATCGTTCAGTCTCTTTCTAAAACATCCATGGCCGCTGAGGATCTGCGAGACTTGGTAGTCGGGTGCGACCCAGGTGGCCCTGAGTCGAGCCCTTACGTCCGGGAAAAAGCGAAACAGCTCCCGACCTTTTGTATCATTTGTCCATCTTTTCTGCCATTCACAAACCACCTCATCCCAAATTACTCGTTTCTGCCTGCTCAACTCCAAACCGGTCAACGAGATATGCGCCTTGCTCACTAAACCAGCACGGATGGCCTCTAGGTCTGCAGGGAGAACGCCAGCCAGTACCGGTAAAGCGGCTG